TTTTTTTTTTTAAATTTTTTAAAAGGTCCTTACCAGGTTTTGAAAATTTAATTTTTAAAAAGCCCAAAAAAAAAAAAAAAAAAAAAAAAAATACAGAAGGAGACCTGTGTGTAAAAATAAGTCTATTCTTTATGCTGCAGATAGACTTTGCTTATCAGACACACTGATTAAGTCTTTGCACATTTTCATCAAGTTGGCATAACATTATGACCACTATCTTAATAGCCCTGAGCCCTGGAAGCTCGGACCCCTGAATGTGTGCTGTTTTTTCTGGCGTCAAGATGTTAACAGCAGATCCTTTAAGTCCTGTGAGGATCTGCTGTCTGATCCTTGACGTGGATCAGATTTGTTTATCCAGTAAGATCCCCACAGATGCTGGGTTTGAAGAATTTTGAGGCCAAGTCAACAATCTAAACTCGCTGTTGTGCTCCTCAAATCGTTTTTTGGAAGCATTTTTGTTTTGTGCCAGATTGCGTTATTTTGCTGACAGAAGTCACCGTGATTCACTAGCTGCTTTTCCTTTGATCATGTAATTACGCAAATTGGAATTCCGAAAAATCAATTCGCTTAGTGGAAATATTCGAATTTAAAAAAAAAAAATTGCGTTTTTCGATTAAAAGAACAAAGTTGAGTGTGAAGATCAGGTGCATTTTCGGCAGTATTGAAATTAAGGTATTTCGTAAAACTGTAATGAAGACACTTTTTTCACATCGCAAGAGTCACCTGATCAACAACCGGATGTTACTACTGCAGGAAAAGACAAAGAAGAAGGCAACAGGAAGTAGAAAAAGGCATGACGACACTTTATGTGTTTTAATGACTTATCTCATGAACTTATTCACGTGGGATTTTAATTGTGTTTCTTATTTGATGGAAACATTGCAATTGAAAAATTCTGTTTTTTCGACATTAGCTGAATTTTGACAAAGTTTTGAGCAAATTTGTAATGGAAACGCAGGTACTATGTATGACCGTATTACTTCTAATACAACAGAAATTGGACTTTTCTCTACCACAAATTTGGAACAATGTTCTTTAGACAGTGAAGAAAAGCAAGTGAAAGTAATGCACAGCCAACTCAACCACTTACTATCAACATAAACACATCAAAGTACTTGTCAGTAGTGGCAGATCTAGAATAGATCTAGAATAGATCTGCCACTGCTCCGTAGAATAATGTCTACGGAGTGGCAAGCCTCGGCCAAGGCTTTTTCAGGGGTGGCAGCGTGTGACAGATTTTTACAATTTCCACACTATTTTCAGATTTTAGCAGCTTACAGTCTCACCAGTGAGAATGTAAAATAACAAGCCATTACATTACATTACATTCTAGTTGGTGCAATGAATTCAGTACGTTTCTTGCTCTCTGTCCATGCAAAGATTGCGCTGACATGGCTTTCAGATCTTGAGAAACTGCTGTTTTTCATTGTTTCCTTTTTCTTCAGGTTTCAACTATGCATGCAAGACCATTTCT